CACATAACATTACTTTAATTTCGTGAGATAACGGTGTTGGGGATTAATCATATTATGTCGGAACATGTAACGCCATCTGTGGTCAGATAGCGAAACCAGATATCAAAACAATTCGAACGCCTCTGGAATGTTCTGGAAAATTATAGACAGTCGAAACGACTATACAAGCGTGATGGGCGACAGTTCTATTCGAAGCGAAGTAACGAACGCTTTACCTTAAGAATAAAGCAAAGAATTGAATTGTGACAATGAACTTGTGATTTTGAAAATTGACGTATTAAATAAATTTAGTTTTGATTAATGTTAATTTAGATTAATTAATTATTATAGATAAATTAGTTTTAATTAGACGGGTGAATGAGATCAAGGCCCACCTGGTTAAACGGTCATGGGAACCCATAGATATGAAGACCGCCACCCTCCTTGAGACAAGCTTTTTTGTTCCCTACCTATGCTGATGGCCTTGCGAGGCTATAACAGCGTTACCCTAGCATGTAGGTGAGCTCTTGGGGCTCATACCGGAGGTGTTGCTGACACTGGCACTAGCAAGAGCCGTGCTTCGCAGAATCTACCACCGGACCGGAAACGCGACCCACTGAGAAGATCCGACTAGAAACTCAGTGGGCTGTGTCTGTGAGTTAATTTACTCGTCGAGCCCTTCGTCGCAAGCGACGGGTTCGACGAGGACGATGACCGGTGCTTGAGGTACCTAAAAGCACAGTTAATGGATTGGGGGGAGAATGACGTGCTTAGGGCGACGTCGAATGTTTACCGTTCGGTCCAAGGTATGTAATTTCCGGCGGCCACGACAAGAGGGTTTGCGTGTCGTGTCGCCATCTCAAAGTGGCGCAATGATGCCAACTGTATACACTTGCTGATTCAGTCAAGCTCCAGGTCATCATGGAGTCCACATTCCGAACCACGGTTGAGACACGCAGTTGAAGCCTTGACTATTCTCTCAATCGACCTATACTAATATTACAAAGCTGAAGAGTTTGTATGTTTGAACGCACTAATCTCAGGAACTACTGGTCCGATTTGAAAAATTCTTTCATTGTTAGATAGCTCATTTATTGAGGAAGACTAAAGGCTATATAACATCACAGTAAGGCCAATACAAGTGGAGCACCAATAAAGAATGTTTCAAAATAGGGGTTTAAATAGCTCCTTAACATTCTATAATTCAAAAATATTTTCACTTTCTACGTAAATGAAGTCGCGGGTAAAATTTAGCGTTATGCCAAAGTAACTATTCCACGCGGACGGAGTCGCGGGCAAAAGCTAGTTTGAAATAAAACAGTATTAAGTTTACAATTTTGCAACTTAATAAAAACTTGCTTATACGTTTTCTAGAAATTATCGGGACACCGGTTAAGAATGCATCGGAAATACAATGCAGGTGTATTGGTACCTGTTGTATCGTTTCCAAGTATTATGGATCGTAAAACTGAGTGGTTATCTCGCACGAGAGCTTCGCTTATTTGTTCAATACATAACCGCGTTGTTTGTTCAGTAGAGTACGGAAATGTTGTTTAGAGATTGAATCTCTCGATTAAAAAAGTTATTGTTTTCTTAATAGCTGACGCAAACGTTTGCCCAAAACAATATTTTTAAAGTTTTTTTTAAATTCTATATTTGGGTGGACGAGCTCATAGCCCACCTAGTGTTGAGTGGTTACTGAAGCCCATAGACGTCTACAACGTAAAAGCCGCCACCCACCTTGAGATATAGTTCTAAGGTCTCAGTATTGTCACAACGGCTACCCTACCCTTAAAACCGAAACGAATTACTGCTTCAAGGCAGAAATAGGAAAGGTGGTGGTACCTGCCCGTGCGGACACACAAGAGAGAGAGAGAGAGAGAGAGGTAAAGAATACTCTAGGAAACCAATACGATAAGGTATAAGAAGAAGTAATACAATAACACACAAAGGTAATATTTCATTAATACGAATTCTAGTAACCTCGAGGTAGTATACTCGATTCTCCGAACGTATAGAGCTCACGGGGCTCAGCACCTCCATGACGACCTGGACTTAGTGTCCATCAGTAAGTATCTGCAGTCGGCGTCGATGCGCCACTTCGATAAAGCGGCACGACACGAGAACCCTCTCATCGTGGTCGCCGGTAACTACTGCGGAAAGAATGGAAAACAGTCGACGTCGCCCCAAACACGTCATCAGATCTTCCCGATCCACTGACGGTGCTTTTAGGTACCCCAAGCACCGGTCACCGTTCTCGTCGAACCCGCCGCTTGCGACGAAGGGCTCGACGAGTAAATTTACCCTCAGACACAGCCCACTGAGTTTCTCGCCGGATTTTCGCAGTGGGTCGCGTTTCCGATCCGGTGGTAGATTCTGCGAAGCATGGCTTTTGCTAGGGTTCGTGTTAGCAACGTCGTCAGATTTGAGCCCCGTGAGCTCACCTACTAGTTAAGGTTCCGCTGAAGTAGCCTCTCAAGGCTATTAGGTTAGGTAGGAAAAAAAAGGGGGGGGCTCAGTCTGGCGAATTTGCTAGCAGTTTCTATTTTTAATTATTTTTTTATTGCTTAGATGGGTGGACGACCTCACAGCCCACCTGGTGTTGAGTGGTTACTGGAGCCCATAGACATCTACGACCTAAATGTGCCACCCACCTTGAAAACTACTAGCCGTAGCAAGGCCATTGCTTCCCTGGATCTACCATTATTACTTAAAACGCAATGTATTACATACAAAACGAACTGAACGTCGACCTAGCGCACCAGCTAACGTCGCGTTACATTGAACTCTCATAAGAAAAATCACAAATTTAATTTCACGTTAAAACTATTGTTTGCTCGGTTGCCGAAATAAGACCATATTCACTGTTACCTTATGAATTAGTTTCCTTTACTGTCTCACTTTTGTTTTGTTCTAAACAATTTTATTGATATTATCGAAGTTCCTAAATCAATAAATAAAAAGAATCAGTTCTCAAACAGGAAAATATACACTGTTTATTCTTTTTGCCTATTCGTATACTGTAAATAAAGTGTGCTTAGAAAGTGGCATGAATCCGTCAAACAGCTCCTAGAAAGATGTTCAATATTTTGACACGAATAGAAACCAGTTCGTATTGACATGTCATAGAATAAGTATCCTCTACAATATTTAATCATCGATACCGAATGATTCGTAGCAATCCAAGACTTATTTGTTTAGGGGTAAAGTGAGAATTGGTACTCCACAAATATCTGTAGTAAACATTTGGTTAGGACTGAATTTACACAAACGAACGTGTGAGAATAGCCCTCGAATATTGAGTTTGCTAAAACTTTCGGGGCATTGACATGGAGATCTAGTGCTTATTGTGAGTGCCTTAAAGCTATTTTGTTTATGACATTTCAAGGCTTAGAGAGAGAGAGAGAGAGAGAGAGACTACACAATAACGCAAGTGTAGGTGCGTGTAAAAGTTTTTTTATTTTTTATTGCTTAGTTGTGTGGACGAGCTCACAGCCCACCTGGTGTGAAGTGGTTACTGGAGCCCATAGACATCTACAACGTAAATGCGCCACACACCTTGAGATATAAGTTCTAAGGTCTCAGTATAGTTACAACGGCTGCCCCACCCTTCAAACCGAAACGCATTACTGCTTCACGGTAGCAACAGGAGGGGCGGTGGTACCTACCCGTGCGGACTCACAAGAGGTCCTACCACCAGTAAATGTAAATGCTAACTTGAAACAGGTCAGAGAAGTCGTCGCGGCCTAAAGGATAAGACGTCCGGTGCATTCGTGTTGAACGATGCACCGATGTTCGAATCCCAGACGGGTACTAACTTGACTTCCACGGTGAAGGAACAACATTATGTAATAAAAATCAAACCCACAAAAATTTTAATTTGCGTAATTTCTAGTGGTAGGACCTCTTGTGAGTCCGCGCGGGTGGGTACCACATTTCTGCCGTGAAGCAGTAATGCGTTTCGGTCTGAGGGGTGGGACAGTCGTTGTAACTATACTGAGATCTTAGAACTTATACCTCAGGGTGGGTGGCGCATTTGCGTTGTAGATGTCTATGGGCTCCAGTAACCACTTAACACCAGGTGGGCTGTGAGCTCGTCCACCCATCTAAGCAATAAAAAAAAGGTCAATTTATGATTGTCCTCGATCAATTCTCAACGAACTTGACTGGTGAAAGTTAATCGTTCTAAATCTGTCACCTCTTCAGGTTGAGACCGCATTGATATTTCGAGGTTAAAAGCTTGGAATATTTAGAACACTATGACAGTCTATTCAAGCCTTTTTTGTTTGCTATTTAATTGAATACCATGTTGTGATACCTTCAAGCTTCGTAATAACACAGATTTGTCTATTTGGTATGATCCAGTTGGCTTGGTAACACCGATACTCTATTCGAGCTGTACATAGGTTCATGATCATATGGCCAAAAAGACAGTATGAGAGTAGATGGTAATGTGATGGAAGGGGCGCTCTAAAAAAACTTGGACGGGCTATGTGAAAGAGGTTATGTGAGAGAAAGGAGTGAGTGCAGAGATGACGTATGAGACACCTGAATAATATGACACACCTTTGATCCCATATCTCAAAGTGGGTAGTAACATTCACCGGGTTCATTCAGTAACCAGTTAACACCAACCAGATTGACCGTGGGCACGTTAATCCGGATAATAACTTTAATCCTTTGATTGTCGTGTAGTCACCGGGGCACTTCTTGGCGCACTAAAGTAATCATATCGACTTCTGTCTCTAAGACGCCGGAAGACGAATCCGAAGTAACTAAGAATCAATCTACCTCTAAGAGATCTAAAATATTAAAACATAGATTCAAAACAACAGAAGGTAAAGTTAGGCATTACAGGCGCTTAGTAACAGAAATCGATATAATTACTTCAGTGCGACATGTAGGGCACGGGTGATCTACACGGCAGTCAAAGGGTTAATAAAGTAAAAAAAATTGATAATCTCTTGCCTCGAACAATCCAGTTAAAAAAAAACAAAAAAAAAAGGTACAAATTGTTTCAGAGCCAGCATCAACGCCGAGAAGTCAATGACCGAGGCTGTGGAGTGGTACACGAACGCGAACGCCGCCCTCCTCCATCATCTGACGAAGGAAATTAAGGACACAGACAGCAGCACTCTTTGGAGGTAATTTTTTTTAAGCCAGTTTACGGATTTCCGTCCCTTGGAGGTCAGAACGGAAAAGTTTTCCCTGCATGCCAACAACGACTATTTTCGTTAGCAACGCATAGAAGATGAGCATTTGCATATTGATTTACACATATATAATACTCGTAGTAGCGAGATATGTACCTAATTAATACGCTTTCATTAATTTCAGACGTATGTAACGGAATCTTTGAACATGATTTTGACCTCCTTCAAAATGTCGGATTAACTCGAAATTTGGCATACTTATTAAGGACCGATGACAATTCAATAATTAAAAAAAACTAAAATATTGAAATTCAATGAAAAAAATAAATTTTAGCTTAAAAAAAACAAAAAAAATACGCTTTTACAGAATATCCAACTAAAAAATAGAAAATAAATTTTAATAAATTTGAATTAAAAATAGTATAAGAAAAAATGATGTTATTGTAAAAGCGTAATTTTTTAGTTTTTTTAACCTTATATTTATTTAAATAACTAAACACAAACTAGCGATAGCTGTCTGTCTGTATTTTCGCAATGTTGTCAGATAGTGACATTGAATTCATAAACTCCTAATATCTCTAAAGCAATGTTATTGAGAACAAATAACTGAATTCGAATTTGTGAACTGTCTAAATTTTAACGAAAAGTTTTTGAAATTTGAATTATTGACAATAAGCAATGATTTTAATGACAAAAACAGCCAATGAGTCGGAGATTGGCGCTGACAGCGTTTATACAATAATTTGGTGGATTAATGTTTTTTTATTTTCGAAGATATTATGCCTAATTTATGCTATACGCAGTTTTAGGGTACATTTTGTAGTATAGATTATGATTGAGTCCAATAATGCCTAATCAAATAAGTTTTGATTTTATCTATGCATTAATATGTATGTTGTGCATCTATAGGTAGCACAATGGTATCTACCATGCGGCCGTCCCACGTTTTAAACACATTAAAACCATTAGCAGGAGAGATTAGGACGAGATATGAGTACTTTGGACTGAACAACAAGTCCTTCCGGTTTTTTTGTTCATCAACATCAGCACACGGGGTTTCTCGTCGGATCTTCTCAACGGATCACGGTACCGATCCGGTAGTAGATTCTTTTGCGAAACAGCTGCTCTCGAGCTGTTAGATCTGGTGTTAAGTGGTTACTGGAGCCCATAGACATCTACAGCGTAAAAAGCGCCACCCAACTTGAGATATATGTTCTGGCAGCTCTTGCCAGCTCTGATGAAACTGGAAAGGCCTTTGATCCACCAGTAATCCTACGTGATACGCATAATTTTTCCCTGAGATCATCGGATAGCCTGAGACTGAAAATGCCGGCGCATTCATCATCATTCTTTGATCATTCATTCACCGTCCAGGCGGTTCGATTGTGGAATGCTCTGCCGGATGCAGTGAGAAGTGCTCAAACTTTAAACTGTTTTAAAAGAATGGTGAAGGAACACTACTTATCTTCTTAGTGCTGTTTGTTTGCATCATCATTTATTATTTCCATACTGTTGATGTATTATGTGTATGTAAGTATATTAGTATGTATTGTATGTAAGTATGTATATTGGTATATAATAATAAGTATATATTTCATATTATATGTAAACGGTATATATTTTGTTTATTTTATGTATATATTTTCTATAATGTATTATCTATAGTACACCGCAACATACCTGCTATATTTTTTTATATTTTCCAGAATTTCTATAAATTAAACGGTTGTCTGGAAGAGATCGCTTTTAGCGATAAGACCGCCTATTGTACAAATTTTTCTGTTTTTTGATTGTTTTTTTGAATGTAAATTGTGTTTTGGTGTGCAATAAAGTGTTCTCTCTCTCTCTCTCTCTCTCTCTCTAATCCTTCCTTCCTTGAAAAAGAGGAGGAATGCAGATCAAGGGGAAGGGAATGCTCTGATCAAGCAGAAGAAGTTACTCCAGAAGAGTTAAACAGCAGTAGTGACAGGAGACTGACGAGGAGGAGAGAGTGGTTGCAGAATGATGATCGTACATGAAATACATCGGTATCTATAGGTATATAGGCAAAGGCATAATGGCTTTGTATCACTCCCAAATCAGTCTTATTCTTGTTTGGTACCTATTAACGAGTCTCACAAAGAAAGAATTGAATCGAAAGAAGAGTCATAAAGAATATTATCTATCTATCCATCTATATAAATATAAAAATGAATTGCTGTTCGTTAGTCTCGCTAAAACTCGAGAACGGCTCGACCGATTTGACTAATTTTGGTCTTGAATTTTTCTTGAAGAGAATGTTTAAAAGGTAGATCTTTTTCTTTATTGCCGTTGTAGGCAGACGAGCGTCCGGCCCACCTGATGGTAAGTGGTTACCGTCGCCCATGGACTTCAGCAATGCCAAGAGCAGAGCCAAGCCGCTGCCTACCTATCAGATCAATATGAAAATGCTCGGAATTAAATAAAAATAGCAATTTTGTTTTTCCTTTGATGTGTCCCCCGTCAGACGGATTCCTTTTGTTTGTTTTAAGTTTATTTTACACAAAAGTTTAGGTCTTTTATTTATCGATTGAGGCACTGCGAAGTCTGCCGAGTCAGCTAGTCAATAATACAATTCAAATAATAATTGGATTAAAAAAAAGGGAATCGACTTTAAAAATATAAATTTTGAATACCAACCAATTTCATTTTGAATTCGATTCATTAAATATATCAATTAAATTTTTCCATTGTATAAATCTGTGTTCACTTCGGTTCGCTTAATGAGTTGTCAGGTTTGCGGGAGTCATATACGCTCCAGTTGCCGCGGTAATTATCATTTGACGTCACGTTGCATCGATGCTGAGCTATCAATTAACCTAGATTTTCAGTAAACAATTTAATTAAATCTGACTTTTTAATCAATGCAGAAAGAACTTTAGGACCTTAACAGGATTTTTTTTTAATTGATCCGATAGTTACGTGATCTATTAGCAAAGTCATGTCTGATAAATATCTTCAACATTCTCGTCTATTTATTTAGAGAGGAACTTAGATGATGGTTATAAGATCAGTGATGGTCTTTTCCTTTTTTTATTGCTTAGGTGGGTGGACGAGCTCACGACCCACCTGATGTTATGTGTGCACCGGAGCCCATAGACATCTACAAGGTAAATTCCGCCACTTACCTTGGCTCCAGTAACCACTTAACATCAGGTAGGCTGTGAGTTCGTCCACCCATCTAAGCAATAAAAAAAACGATTCAAAGCAGGAACTTGACCTCGCTAGCCCATAAAAAGATATGAGGACTTTAAAATTAAGCAAGGCTGGTTGCAGGCTCCCTCGACTTTAAGGTTAGTCGGTCAGATAGTAGTACGTAGTAGGGTAGTTAATTAGATTAGATCAGTGTATCACTGTGTATAATGGCCTCCTCTGTTTTGAGCAATTTGAGTCGATGTTTCTACCGCCCCATTCAAATCTGTCAGAAATTTCATCCGTCTCCCATACATTGGGAGTATATGCCCGAGCATAGAGGTTCGCCTCAAATCCTGACCACGCCGGGGGCCAGTCGCCGTCGAAGCCCTAGACACGTCCTTACGAATCCATCAGATCGAATAACCTTTGCATTAGACGCCTTCAGCTCTAACACTAGGAGCAGGCTTAGGGACTCTGGTAACCGTACTCAACGAACTCGACAAAGAGATCGACGTGCAACCTAACCCATGCATCAGCTCGCTGAGTTTCTCGCCGGATCTTCTCAGCGGATCGCGATTCTGATCCGCTAGTAGATTCATTCGCGAAGCAGCTGCTCTTGAGTTGTTAGGAATCCTTCGGAGGCGCTCGGGCAGCTGTTAGCAAATCCCACACCTCAGAAAGGCCTCCGAGCCACCAGTATTCCTTCAATCCTTAAAAAAAACGATTCGCCCCGAGACCCGTTTCGTACCTCAGTAAAGTCGCTACATGAGGACCCGCGATGATGAAACTTAAAATAAATCTTTGGCGACTTTGTTATAATCAATAAACTTTTTTACGTGTAAAATTCTAGTCGCTTTTACTCTATTTACAGGGTTATTGACTAGATAATACATTTTTAGTATTCATGGGTAGACACGCTAGAAAACTATAAACATTTTACGATCGTACTTAATCTTTTTTTGTGGCAAAGTAATTTATTTTTTCTTCATAGTATATGTTTTACGTCAATAGGCTTAATTTTTAACGGCTTTTAATGTTATAGAGACAGATATAGAGAGGTAGAGAGAGTTTAGGGTAGATTCTTCAAGCACGGAGGATATATGAGTGTTCTAAATCAAACCAGCTGCCCAATAGGGGGAGTAATAATACTCTCATTGTCTCACTAAGTAATCAGTGATGGGCATCATAAGCTTGCACATGTAGTTACCACAAATTTTTTTTGGGTCAGAAGATAATTGTTGCATTTCTGCTTATGTATTTGTGGCGGTAAGTAAGGCATACCTAACGTGACCATTTATTTTTTTACTCAAAACTAAACATTAGTTAATTTGAATCAATTGAACAGGTACTTCATGCAAAAAAAAAACAGTACTTTTTTAAAGTTCTTTAAAAATGTTATAATATTTCTAATGTTTCTTCTTCTAATGTTTCAATATTCAAAATACCATTTTGTGTCACCTGTATAACTGCACCTGTATAAAATACAAATATACAGTTTAAAAATATAGTATTATTAACAGTTATGATGAACATCAACTCTTCTCAGTGGGTCGCGTTTCCGATCCGGTGGTAGATTCTGCGAAGCACTGCTCTTGCTAGGGTCAGTGTTAGCAACTCTCCGGTTTGAGCCCCGCGAGCTCACCTACAAACGTTAGGGCGAAGCTGAAATAGCCTCTCAGGGTTATCAGCATAGGTAGGAAAAAAAAAACAAAAGAACATCAACGAATATTGTGTGTACCTAAATCAATAAATCGGAGTCTAATTCGATTTTATCCTCTTATTCAAACTTGACATTCGCCAATCGAAACAAATAGAACTGGTGTTCTCCTATATATTATTAAATATTTGAAAATGTAAAAGCTCATATGGTTGAGCTTTAGTACACACAAGTGAGTCAGTGTTCCGTGCCTTTATTAAAATGAGTCACGGGCTCACACACACACAGACACACGTCCTTCGGCTCCTCGAAATCGTACGGTACATCCAAAACACTCCGTATAATATCGTATGGACATGTGAAAAATGCTTTAAAATTTATTTATTTTAATGACCAGTCATGGATTATCCAGAATTGATAACATTCAGAGTTGGAAAGCTTATCTGAAACTTGTGATTCATTATGAATAATGTAAAAATAAAATATTTATTCATTTGTTGGATTTCTTTTTCTACCTATTCGCTGGTAGCCTACATGCTATTCCAGCTATGCCCGAGCGGGTAGGTGAGCTCACAGGCTTATCCTGAGAGAATTTGCTAACACTAGCGCTAGCAAGAGCAGTGCTTCGCAGAATTTACCACCGGATCGGCATCGGGACCCACTGAGAAGATCCGGCGAGAAACTCAGTAGGCTGTGTCTATTTAGTTCGCTCGTCGAACTCTTCGTCGTGATCGACAGGTTCGACGAGGACGGTGACCGGTGCTTGAGAGGTCTAAAAGCACCGAAAGTAGATCCGGGGGATCCGACAAGACAAGTTTCAGGCGACGGCGGCTTTGCATTGGCCCGTCGCGATCGGTTATCCGATTGATAGGACTGACGATCGCTGGAGCAGACAGGTTCTCGAGTGGAGACCGCGCAGCGGAAGACGTAACGTGGGACGCCCCCTGGCTAAGTGGTGCGATGACCTTCGAACGGTGTCCGGCAAAAAGTGGATGAGGAGAGCCGTAGACCGGGCTCAGTGGTGTGGATTGAGAGAGGCCTATGTCCAGCAGTGAACGACTATGGGCTGTTGATGATGATGATGATGATGATGAAAATGTTTTGTGAAGTTGTAGAGGGAGGATATTTTGTGTTATGAAAGAATTTAAGCTCTTTCATCTACTGAAACTACTACTACTACCTACAGCATCTATTACCGGCGCCAATAGATGACACAAAATGAATTCCACCATATACAAACCATGAAGCACAAAGAGATAATTTTCCTTGCAATGCAAAAGGTCCGTTTCAGTTTTGGGACCGAAACGCATGGCTACTTAGAAACTGAAATACAAAGATAAGATGGCAATACACCCTAGCATTTGTAATTGGACAATTTTGTATATTTTCGGGGTCGATTTTTATTACTCGCTCACGATGTCATCATAGAATTCGTTCGTGAACACATATTGGGTACGTATTTGAATAAAAACATTTAAACCTGTGATTTGGGATTCATCAATGTCACACTTCGTTGAAAACGAGTATACCCTGTGTCGTGGGCCACGACGACTTCATCATATCTGTAGTTTGTTATTCGTATTCTCGGGATATGATGTTCCGAACACATAAAAGTCAAACACACCAATTCAACAATATAATAATATAATATGTGTACAATGTTCTATTAAAAAGTAAAAAGAGTAAACAAGTCGCTAGGCACTACAAGGCACAAATTAAAACTAAAATTATAATACGTTTTACAATCAACTTAAATCGGCGCGCGCGAATCTCGCAGTATGACGTCACGGGACACCTGCGCGTTCGGGAACTCCGACCGCATCCGATGACGCCCGAATGCGACCGAGTGTTACACGCTACATATCTGTTATGAAGTCAAAGGAAAGGATGATAAGTCGATCGGATTATTTATTAATCTCAGGATGCGATTCCGGCTTTGTACAACTTTTATTATTATTATTTTTTGCTTAGATGGGTGGACGAGCTAACAGCCCACCTGGTGTTCAGTGATTGCTGGAGCCCATAGATATCTACAACGTAAATGCGCCACCCACCTTGAGGTATAAGTCCTAGGGTCTTAGTATAGTTACAACGGCTGCCCCACCCTTCAAACCGAAACGCGTTATTGCTTCACAACAGAAATAGGCAGGGTGGTGGTACCTACCCGCGCCGACTCACAAGAGGTCCTTTACCCTTCTTGGGGACTGGATAAGTTCTCACAAGAGGTCCTACCGCCAGTTATTACGCAAATTATAATTTTGCGGATTTGATTTTTATGACACGATGTTATTCCTTCACCGTGGAAGTCAATCGTGAAAGTATTTCAGAAGTACGTATTTCATTAGAAAAATTGGTACGCGCCTGCGGGATTCGAACACCGTTGCATCGCTAGATACGAATGCACCGGGCTTCTTATCCTTTATGCCGAGTTTACATTACGAAATTAGTGTCATGCATGTTGAGCTCAGTTTCACGAAAGTAGTTTCGATATACGCGAAAGTAATTTCGTTAAAAAATTAGTGTCGCGAAATCCACAGTATCGCAGTAACCATGGCGCCGTTAGCATCAAAGCTATAATTTGCTATATTCAATGTAGCTAAAGAAATGCTTATATACCTATAAACTTAAAAAAAGACTATCAAGAAAAAAAAAGTTGGTAGATTCGAGGATGGTCAACAAGAAGGCATTTAGGTGCAATGAAGTTAGTCTCTGAATTAGCAGATGAAGATCCTGAGAGTTATAAAAACTATTTTCGAATGAGTGAAGATAATTTTGATTTTTTACTATAGGTGTTTCGGGACCCTTGTCATTGATATTCATTAATAAGATCTATATTTTTTTCTGTACTCCATCATTGGTTTGCCATTTTCAACGCTTGAAGCGCGTCCGAACTAACAATACACACGTCCGCACAGCGCAGGCCCTTTCGCGACATTAGTTTCACGTCGCGTTTACACTATGAAATTAGTTGCATGACATTAATTTCACCAAAAAATCGCGCAGGGCACGAAACTAATTTCCATGCATGAAATTAATGCATGCATTACGAAAGTATTAAATTACACGTGAAACTGTTAGTAAAACTAATGTCACGAAATTAATTTCACGCCACTAATTTCGTAATGTAAATTCGGCTTTAGGATACGACGACTACTAATACTATTCCCAAATCATCCGTGCGTAGTAGCTGTATTACCACTTAATTTCGTAAATAAATCCTCAATGACTTACCTTTGGTTCTTATTTCATATTACACATTATATCTTACATTACCAGTATTGGGAGGTGCTTGTCAAATGGTTCATTATTATTGTCTCATCTATTTCAGGTTTGATTGGTTAGAGAACTGATGTATAAGTTCGATCATATAATTAGCTGCTACTATATATTTGTGGAATTGAATAGTAGGGTCCGGAGCAATAAATTTATATTAAGTTCATTACAAAACACGAACGTAGGGTATTTCAATGAAAAGAAACAGCCAGCCGACACCTTTCTTTTTCTTTTCTTTTTCCAATTTTTATCTAGTCCCAAATTAGGATTCCCAGTTTTATAGATACCAGAGATTGACATACATACTTATACACGTTTAAATATATATATCTATATATAATAAAGACCCAGATAAAGAGCAAACAAACCTATTCATTACACGAATGTTTACCCACTGCTTAAATCAAACTCACGACCCCCGCGTAACAGTCAGGGGCGTTAGGTACTGTATGTACCACCAATTGCACCAAAATCTGTATGTACTATTATACTATATGTTATTTTGTTTCCTTAAGGTACCTGGTCGGATTCAAGAATCTCCTACGCAGCATCGAGTGTAAGGGTATTGCTTCGGTTTTGGGCATCAATTATTTCGCAAGAGGGTATCTGCAAGCGAAAGCATACGAAAGGTAATTTGGGAATCGATTCTTTGTTAACTTATTGCTGGAATTCAGACTGTACTTGGACGAGCAATGTAAAGGGTCCACTGAACAACTGAATAAATGACGTCACTAAAATCATAAGAATTCGCTGGAAATTTACCGCCTCTAATCGGCTATTTTCGAATTATCTAATAAAGTTCTGGGGTTCTGTAAATTTCGCAGGAATTACCAAATATATACACATATTTAGCGAATTAACGTTTATTATGTAATGACTGAAATATCCCTTGATAAACGTCTTACAGAAATACCTTATGGTGCTAAATCAATTACATTTGCTTGTATTGTACTGCTTTATGCTTCAAATCCGAGCGCATCATCATACACAGGAATAGGAATAGATATAAACAATATAAGGTCGTCACAGCGATTAAGAGCAAAGTTGGGTACGTAAAATGAACAGTATGCTCTAGGACTAAAGTTCTTTTGGTCATACCTAAGGTAGATGTTAGTAGGATGACTTTGGATCAACGATGCTCTAAATGGGTGATAGAAAAGTAGTAATTGTGTGTAGGAGCCGAATTCTCTTACCCTGATTCGAAAATAGACATGATGATTGCCACAGGCACAATACGTTCATTTCTACTATTGTTACGCCGGTAAGAGTAACGCCATCTATCGCCGAATAGTCGAACGATTATTGAAGTATCTAGTAGCATCTAGAACGCTTGAGAAGTACAACGCCATCTATTGTAAGATAGCGGAAGCACAGTACTCAGCTTTTGTGGAATATTCTCGACGATTCTAGGGATTTCGTCTCGACTATAAAAGCGTTGCAGAGATGGCACGCAGTCAGTTAATAATCGAAGAATCGAACTACTCGAAGTGAAACAGCGAACGGATCACATGAAGCGAAGCGGAATTGAGAGTTTTCAACTGTTTGTTGAGTGTTTTAAGTCTTGAATACAGTTTTTAGTTGTACTTTGGTGGAACTTTATTTATCCCGAACCCCAGCGCGTAACACTATTATGAAGTTGTTCTAATTTCCTCACTTATTACAGATACGTGGCTCATATGACGTTAGGTAGAGATCTTCTCGACAATACTCTGAACTTGGTGCCTTCGTTGATACCTCTTCATAAAGACATTAAAGAAGACAGCCCGGAATATCAAGATTTGGAGAAAAAGTAAGTTTGGAATGAAGTACTATCGATGAGGAAATAAAAGTATTTAAACTACAAAGATGTACCTATAAAAGTTAAAATTAAAATGACCAGTGAATACTTGTCGAAAGCAACAAGGCAAAGAGAGTATGTAATTCAAAACTAAGTTCCAAATAGTAATAAGTCTGAAATTAATTGATTAATTAAGGTATGAAACAATGAAGAAAAATGAAAAATAAATTTAAACTATTCGAATAAAAATATGTTTATGAAATAATTCAATTTTTGTTCATTTTATAAGTAAGACTATTTTGCTGTATGTTTCAATTAATGGTGGTAGGACATCTTGTAAGTTCACGCGGGTAGGTACCACCACGCTGCCTATTTCTGCCGTGAAGCAGTAATGCGTTTCGGTTTGAAGGGTGGTGCAGCTGTTGTAACTATACTTGAGACCTTAGAACTTGTATCTCAAGGTGGGTGGCGTATTTACGTTGTAGATGTCTATAGGCTCCAGTAACCACCTAACACCAGGTGGACTGTGAGCTCGTACACTCGTATAAGTAATAAAAAAATACATAAAGAACAACTAGAAATAAAAACTGAAAAGAAAAATTGATTGCTGGAGTTTTTCGCTACATTATGTGCATTCTATTTATCACCATTCATAATAAAAATATATAACATTACGACAGAAAAGTAAACGAAGTAACCGTCAAATAAATATCTGGATAAAATGACCTATAATTATTATCTTAGGAACATAACATTTTGAACCTTATAAAAGCGAGATATCAAAATAGTTTTGCAAGATGCTTCAACTTTTCACATTCAATATTATTATAGGAATCAGCAAATAGTTGATAACAAGCATCAAGAAGGGAGTGTCGCTGAAGCTATAGAGTACTTCGATCAGACGGCTACATTTCTGGATAAGCTGAGGGCTGTACAGAAACAACTCCGAGAATATATCAGGTTTGTCTATACTCTATACTAATATTATAAAAAGGAAAGATTTGTTTGTTTGTTTGTTTGTTTCGAATAGGCTCCGAAACTACTGGACCGATTTGAAAAATTCTTTTTCCATTAGAAGCCGACATTGTCCCTGATGAACATAGGCTACTTTTTTTAATTTTTTTTTGATTTTTTTTTTGTTTCATGTGTGTTTTAATGTTTCCGAAGCGAAGCGAGGGCGGGTCGCTAGTTAACTATATCCAAAAGAACAGAAGAAAGTTGTACTTCAAAATCCTAATTGAACGGTTCATTAGTATTAAAAGTTTTCATTGTTGAAATAGTTTTATTTAATTGTTGTAAGATTTCTGGAATTCAAGTTATTTATGATTGAGAGTCTAACATTCCTCATGTCAAGCGTTAACTAATTAGAGATATTGCATAGTTATTGCCGTGTTGATCAAAGTAATCCATGATGCTATAAGAAACTTCGATATTGTAGGAGTATCGATTCGTCATCAAATATTTCGGAAATCAAATAATCTTGTAACGTTAGTGTAAGTTTTACTGCTGGTGAGACCTCTTGTGAGTCCGCACGGATAGGTACCGACACCCTGCCTATTTCAGCCGTGAAGCAGTAACGCGTTTCGGTTTGAAGGGTGGGGCAGCCGTTGTAACTGACACTGAGACCTTAGAACTTATATCTCAAAGTGGGTGGCGCATTTACGTTGTAGGTGTCTATGAGCTCCAGTAACTATTTAACAACAGGTGGGCTGTGAGTTCGTCCAGTTTCTCACTGGTTTTTCTCAGTCGCGTCGCGTTTCCGGTCCGGTGATAGATTCTACGAAGCACGGCTTTTGCTAGGGTTCGTGCTAGCAACGTCATCAGGTTTGAGGCCCGTGAGCTCATCTACTAGTTAAGGCGACGCTGATATAGCATCTCAAGGCTATCAGCTTAGGTAGAAAAAAAAGAAAAAAAAGAGTTCGTCCACCCATCTAAGCAATAAAAATAAAAAGTACAGATAACATCAAAATTTGCTCTCAAGTATTTTAATGAATTAATTTTTTTATTTTTAGGGAAGGTGCAACGGAGAGTTTGAAAGACGCAAGGCAAAGCGAAGCGATTTGCGCTGGTATACTCGTACTGGTCTGCGTTGTTTCACCCATTATAATTGCATTGGTCAGAAACGCTGTCAACACTATACAGGTATTCACGAATTTCGTAGATTCTATCGATTTTTCAGCGCGTTCGTATGTCCCGGAAAATGTTGCTTTCTATAAAAAAGCGCAAGATACTCGCCGGTATTGCCTCCGTCTAACAGCTGTTCCGGCTGGCTGCTGATAGAGATGAATACAGGAAGATAACGGCCAACCTTCAGAATTGAAGAGGCACTGGAAGAAGAAGGAGAATCGATTTTTAAAAATTACTATATAACCTCCAGATTAATATTAGCTTATTCCAAAAAACTGGTTTAAAAAAAAGAATTATTGATAATGAAGTGATTTTGATTTTAAAGGTCAATCGCCAATCCTCAGGCTGTATTGATTCTCTTACAAAAAAGTATTGAATTCTAGTCTCGAGATTTTTCGGATAAGAATTTTAGTAATGTTATTTGGAATTTTATATTTTATTTTGCTAAGGGAGAAACAGGATCTTTGAGAAACATAAATCGAGATTTGTTTGTTTTTAAAACAATCTCTAGGTTAAGCTGTGCACTAAAATATTTTGCTCTAAGCTAGTTTTAGATAAAGGGTTGAAATTTCAGCTACCACACCCCTCTCTATGCTGGAACACTGAATTTTTGAGCGCTAAAAATACATAAGACACTTCAATTTTTTTCAGGTATATGCGAGAAATTTATCAGAGAAAGCAAGAGAACTGGAGCACGAAAAGGAACTTAGCGACTCACTATTGTATCAAATGCTTCCACCGAGCGTCGCTAAACAATTGAAACAAACACAACAGGTACTGTGTTTTTTCCTTTACATCTTAAATCTTTTCAGGGTCGTCTTAACTACATCGATGATGCATTTGATGGATATATGTTATNATATTTTTATAAGTCCCTAATTAACATATATAAAATTTAGCTTTTATAGTATAACAAAAGTATAATTAAAATTTATTATAGTTTAAGGGTGTCTGGCAGGGGGTAACAACTGGAAAGTGTCCGGCAACGGATATCGTGATTTCTAAAGATATTCTGGAGTAAATATAAAAAAAAAACCTTTATACTTTAACGAATTTAAGGTACTATTTTATATACCTTTACTGCCTGTTACCTGCCCAAGTAACCACAATCGGAACTCTATAATCGCGGGTCGTTCTTACCTGTGTTGGAGACATACACAGAGAAACTTTCAGCTTTTATAAAATAACGAAGGTCTGGCTGTCGCGGGCTCTTGCTCTAGTAGATCTTGTAGGTTGTATGATGCTAAGTTCTCTAATGCTGCTCTTTTGCTTGTCACTTGTAGCATATAGAAAAGCTGTTTTGGAGTGTTTATAGGGTGATTTGGCCCGATAAGTATTGTAGTTTTATAGTGTAAGTTAATGTATAAAATGATATGTGCGTATTGTGTTGCTTTTGTTTTTTTTGTTTTTTTGTAATTTAAATTTCTAAATTTCTCTTCTTGTTCACTGTCTACTTATATGTGATTTTGATTGTGGAAACATATTTGGTTATTGTTTTAGCTATATTTTTTTAAAATATTGTATGTTTGTATTGTACTGTTTGTTTCCCAAATAAATAAATAGTTACGACCTTCCCGCCCATGTCTGCCTCAAGACAGACACGCTTTCCGGTGTCGCTTTGGGGTCATCACGTCCCCTTACGGGGGCACGGGACGGGGGGCCTCGGGGATCCCCCTCTGCCCGGGCTTGTGACTCCCTGCCTATCGAGGCAGGGGTGATGCACTGCAGGTTGGAGTTTTGCAGGATTGAGCGCGTTGGGTGGGACGTTCTTGATAGTGAAGGTAGAGGCGAAGATCTTCTCTCTTCTCTTCTTCCTCATCTACATGGGGGGCGGCTGCTTCTCTCCTGCCATTTTTTATTATTTTTATTATTTGAAGTATAGTATCGTTGTTATACAAGCAAATAAGGAGTCTCATAAAACTCTAACACACCTCTGTACTGTGATGCCTATATGCTTTGGTAACCAATGAATGGTAAGCCGTGGGTTCATTCACTTAAATATCCAATGATAATAAGAAATTGTATAGAATTAGAATTCCAAATGATATTAAACAACACATCTACATAATAATTAAATAAATAATCTTAATACCATCTGAAGATATATAAATATGTAATATAGTAAATTTCATAATCTGTGGTCATATTTTCTCTTTTTTTTTGTGTTTAAATGGGTGTACGGGTTCATGGCCCACCTGGTGATAATTGGCTACCAGACCACAGATATTAATAAAATAAATGCCGCCTTTTACCTAGGGTCATGAGTTCTATATTACACTATATAGTGAAACGTCAGCACCACCGTTCAAACAAAATTACTGCTTCAGGACAGAAGTAGACTGGGTTGTGGTACCTACCCGTGCAGACTCGCAAGGCACCCTACTACCAGTAAATATCATTAAGATCCCTAGAAAATGGAATGTATTGTTTTAAAACTTGTATTAGATGTCCATCGCTGAGTTAGGCTTCGAGACGTGTGACTCTATGCAGTGATTGGTTTCAGGTACCCGCAGAGTTTTTCGCCTCTGTGACCGTATATTTCAGCGACATAGTGGGCTTTACAGCCATTGCAGCTGTGTCTACACCTTATCAAGTGAGTAAAGGCTTTTTTTTGTTCACTGATCTTTAGGCCCTTAAATATTAAAATATTTACATTCGAAGTCATCCATTAATTGCAACTGCCACTGGGGCAAATTTCATTCAAAACGCCTGGAGATACTGCGTTTAATCCATTTCTAAGGATCTCTTCGCTAAGTATCATCTGACTTTGAAACGGATTCTCCTCCACAGTACATCCGGAATACAATGACATATTCTTTTTCAAACGTGATTTCTAGAGTTCTAGCAGTAAGCAGAGTTTCGGGCATTGCTGAAGCTTATGAGCAACTGTTTACCAAGATGGGCCACATGTACGTCTGCCTAAGAAGATAATTGAATATTTATTTGTATTCTAAAGACTGCTCATCATCACTAATTTGTGTGTATTCCTAGATTGGATTCATGATTGCGGAAGAGTGATTTAAATAGGCCTTAGGTTGACCCGGTGGCACATTGTTAGGCCAATAGTTGTGGGTAGGTTTTGGAAACATCGTTTTGCAAAACAGGTTAATTTTTGATGATAATGTGCACTTTCATTCAAATTATTTTTATATATTTATTCAGGTGATCAGTTTCTTGAACTCCGTTTACAAGTTGTTCGACGAAAGGATTGAATGTTACGACGTATACAAGATTGAGACCATTGGTGACTCTTACATGGTGGCGTCCGGGATACCGGTTAGGAATGGTAGGTATAGATGAAGTCAGCGCTAAGACTGGCCGAGTTCAACGAGCGACACCCTAAATGGGAATTTCTGTAGATAGACTCTCTAGTTATGGTCAAACGAACTGACCTGACCAGGGTCTGTTCTGTTATTTTTTCATAATATATATATAGAAGACACAAGCCTTCAGTTTTCCCTATGATTTTCCCGTTTTCATCTTAAACTCTTCACCCGAATTCGAATCTTGTGATCTACTCATTGTTTTGCTTGTTTTTCGTTTTTTTGTGCATTGGATGATAGACCAGAATATCAGATTTGGGAATGAAACATCGCAATCACTTATGGACATCCGCAAAGCCAGGGACGTAGCCGTACAGCTGAGGATTTTTCTTGAACCATCTCTGAAGAAGAGAACGGGCATGTTAGGCCTGATCTATGAAGCTAATTATCCCCATGTGGTTTCTGCGATTGTGAGGAATTTCGAAAGTACATACGAAGTACTTGTTGAACGTCAAAAAGAACTACCGCCAATTCACAAAAAATAGCCTCCGTCCTGAAAATAACTGGAAAAAAACTCAGCGGGCATGTCTTTTTTTTTAAACATTAGATTATTATTTTTTAAATATTCATTTTTACAAGAGGTATTAACAATTATTAATTAGCAATATCGAAATGCCCGGAGCGAGCAACTCATTCCCACTTTGTGCAATCTTATAGATAATCATTGACTTTATATAGTAAGCTTTATTGCACAGATGTTCTTTAATAGTTTTCTTAAACCTATGTATATATGTAGGTTCTGAACATCTTGTAGGATTTTGTTGTACAGGCGCACAGACGAACACCCGAATGAATTTCATATCTTATGTAACCTACTCATCGGCACATCTAGCTTGTGTTTGTTTTGTTGAGACCAACCCTCTCGAGATGTTTTGAGAGGCTTTTTGGGCCATTATTATTATTTAGTCTATGTTTTGTGTAGGTAATAAGCACGCGTCCGAGATAGCCAGTATGGCGCTGGAGCTGCTGGAAGCGACATCAATGTGTCGTCTACCGCATCGGCCCGATCAGGTACCTTGCTTAGGTAATACATGTTGTGTTTGCTATCATGTTTGGCTTCTTGCATGAGCACCTTGACGAGTGCGGCGATTCTTCGAGATTAAGCTGATTTAGCGCTTTTTGTTAAGATCACAAATTCATTTGACTAAGCTTCCCGTATAATCGAATTACTTTTGATCATATTTCATTTAAGAGTGGACGCAAGTAAGTTCTAGAATATGTATGTTAAAAAAAAACATTCGATATATGTAACTTTTTGTCGTAACAGCATTATGATTTCAGTTGCAATTTTATCTTTAGTTCTTTCAATCTGATATGTTCAATTTTCCAAACGTTCGCTTTTACGTATCATTCACGCACTAAAACCACGACGATAGGCGTAATAATCTAATAATAGCGTATGAGTAATTATTTTCCTTATATCCAATGTTAATTAGTGAAAAAAATGGTGCGCGTGCAACTTGGTGCACGTGAAAGAAGTGGAACTTCTTTTGCGATTTGTAGTATTGTGGTTTTCTTAATTTTTTCATCCATAAATCAAATTTCTCTTATAATAAGGAATGCTGTGTATGCGAGAAATGATCTAGCTCGCTTTGTCTTTCCCCTCTCTCCACGGTCGAGTGGTTCACGAGACGCTGTCTATTTTCTCACTCTTGCTCTTCCTAAATTGTATCTTTTCTCTCTAGCCGTAACGAATCTGTCACGAGTTAAATTTTACTCTCAACGCGCCTAAACAAGTTTCACTTCAATAATATGAAATTTTTTACAGACTTTATGCATGAGAAGCGGTATTCACACCGGTCCCTGTGTGGCTGGGATTGTGGGCAGTAAGATGCCTCGGTACTGTCTATTCGGAGACACCATTAACACGGCCAGTCGCATGGAAAGCACCGGAGAACGTAAGTTTGTTTTAATCTGCTGAAAGTGTTACTGAAAGTTATTACTGGTGGTAGGACCTCTTGTGAGTCCGCACAGGTAGGTACCACCGCCCTGCCTATTTCTGCCGTGAAATAGTAATGCGTGTCGGTTTGAAGGGCCCGGCAGCAGTTGTAACTATACAGAGACCTTAGAACTGATATCTTAAGGTGGGTGGCGCATTTACGTTGTAGATGTTTATGGGCTCCGGTAACCACTTAACATCAGGTGGGCTGTGAGCTCGTCCACCCAACTAAGCAATAAATAAAAAATGTGTTTGATACCGTCGGCTTAGTTGGCATCAAAACACCACTACCCATTTGAAGCACAAACATAGTTTGGGAGTCATTTGGGATAACGGTTGTGTTCTTGAAACAGAATACATAGTGATTTGGTGAAGTCAATAGGACGTTGATAGCGATGAGCGCAGAGAACTTTACCAGAAAATAACTGTTTAGGGCTAAAAGGTTTTTTTAATCAACATGAGTAAGTAAACTCAAAAATGATTATGCAGAGACAGCGGCAATTGGAGCCGCTAGGCAATGTCGATGGCATCTTGAACCACAATATTAAATGAAAAAATAATCTATTTTGGTACAACAAGCAGCTCACGAAACAAGAACTTAGATAGGAACCAGGTGGTTAAGATTTAAAAAACATGAGTTGTAAAATTAATGAGGATATTGCTATGGACAAATTATTAGCAGTAAAGGAGTTCTGGGTTGCCCACTATCTTCTTCTGATACGAAAAAACTTCATTAGGATCCATTCATCATGAACTAGGTGAGCGAGAACTTGCGAAAGCTAGGAAGTTATTGGCGTCCTATATCAGAATCAAATCAGAGACCGAAGAAAAGATGGGTCGATGATATAATAAAGATTGCTAGAAAAAATTGGTTGCATTTGGCCAAGGACAGGGAATGGTAATCTGGTTTTGTCTGGTGGTAGGACCTCTTGTGAGTCCGCACGGGTAGGCACCACCACCCCGCCTATTTCTGCCGTGAAGCAGTAATGCGTGTCGGTTTGGAGGGCGGGGCAGCCGTTGTAACTATACTGAGACCATAGAACTGATATATCAAGGTGGGTGGCGGCATTTACGTTTGTAGATGTTTATGGGCTCCTCTAACGACTTACATCAGGTGGGCCGTGAGCTCGTCCACCCAACTAAGCAATAAAAAAATAAAATAGATAAGGATGAAGGAGTCTTTTACCCAAGAAGGGGCCACATAACAAAGAAAAAAGAAGAAATACGTAACTAGTTTATAATCTGATATATAATTCCATTGTTAAGTGGAAATAAAACTACGAGTATCAGAATAATAATCAGAATCAGAATCAACAACAATTTGTCGAACATTAAAAGATATTTAGCCGATACTGACAAAATTAATTTTATAATAACTTTATCCTTTGCTTCTCAAATTTGTTGTTTTGTTATTTATAATATATAAACAATTATATCGTAATATATTCAGATTTCAAAACGTTTTCCTTATAAATTCGAAGAAGAATTTTGATTACATAACATATCGAAACAATCCCACAACTATTGCATTATAACCGTTGCAAAAATTTGCTCAACATATACATGGAACATATTGTCCATATTTTCCAGCAAAATGTATGAATCTCTACCAATTATGCCGCCGATAAATCTTGCCACATTACTTTTAGACAACGACCGGAAAGATTTAAATATGAGGCCGTCAGAGCAAGAGTCCAAAAATCTTTATATTCGTGCTTAAATATTGCAATTTATTTAAACCATAATATTTTTTTATGCAAACCGTACTATCCTTAGTTTGACCCATAGATAACATATGGATTAGTAAACATAATTTTTGCCTACGAAGCAAGGTAAGATTAAATTCAAAACTCATTATCTCCATGCTGATTATGGTAAGCTTAGGACCTTAGCCTTATATGTAGCATTTGTTACGACTGATGATCTAAGGGAAGATCTGTATCTAGAATGCTACCGTAGTCATTTAGATTACTTTCTCGAAGGTTCACCAGTTGCACGTGACCAGTATTATTTACTATTTTTAGATATTACTGCACAACGCTCTATGTTAGTAGCCAACGGACAGTTTGCACATCACATTCGTGCTGGGGAAAGATAACACCTTTCAGGATGTATTTACTGGTGATAGGACGTCTCGTGAGTCCGCATGGGTAGGTACCACCACCCTGCATATTTCTGCTGTAAAGCAGTAATGCGTTTCGGTTAGAAGCCATGGTGCAGCCGTTGTAACTATACAGAGACCTTAGAACTCATATCTCAAAGTGGGTGGGGGCTTTTACGTTGTAGATATCTATGAGCTTCGGTAACCATTTAACACCAGGTGGGTAGTGAGCTCGTCAGCTTCACGGCAGAGATAGGCAGAGTGGTGTTCCCTACCCGTGCGGACGCACAAGACGTCCTACAACCAGTAAAATATACATGTAATATGTACGTATGTCTTTTATTTTATTTTCTAGCCATGAAGATTCAAATTTCTGAAGACGTCAAAAGGGAAATAGATAAAACCGGTCTCTTCATCACGACCCCGAGAGGAGTTGTAGATGTGAAGGTAAGCAATGCGTAACCATAAAAAAGAAAAATTACAATGTGAAAAATGATTTTTGATTGAAGATTCTAATGTTTTTTCAATTAGCAAGAGTCATTAGTAGTAGATGTAGTCTTTGTTTGAGACTTAGTCTAAGAAAGACATGAAATGGTCATTATATTGGTTCAAACCGGAACATATTACTAATTTGATTGGAGACAGACGTATTTGAAACAAATATTAATAGTCATTAATTCAAAATTGTAACTTACCGTAGAAGTCATCTCCAGCTGAACAATTACGAGTAAATTGGTAATGTATCGATCCGATAAAATTAATCAAATTTTAAATTGATTATTTCTTTTGTCATTCGTATTTTGATAGTATAACTATAATAATATACATGCCTATTACATGAATATTAAACATACATTTAATAGAAATAGCTATTTTGGATCCTCCCGATCTACTAACAGTACTTTTAGGTACCCCAAGCACCGGTCATCGTTTCAGTCGAACCCGTCGCTTGCGACGAATGGCTCGACGAGTAAATTAATCCACAGACAGCCCACTGAGTTTCTCGCCGGATCTTCTCAGTGGGTCGCGTTTCCGATCCGGTGATAGATTCTGCGAAGCACGGCTCTTGCTGGGGCTCGTGTTAGCAACGTCATCAAGTTTGAGCCCCGTGAGCTCGCCTACTAATTCGACGAATCTAGAATAACCCCTCGAGGGTACTAGAACAGGTAGGAAAACAAAGCGACATTTCGAGCCCTAGATCCTTAATGTCACATAGCTGCCTTTTTTTAGGCTATTTCAGCGTAACCTTAGCTAGTAGGTGAGCTCACGGGGCTCAAACCTGATAACGTTGCTAACACTAACCCTAGTAAGAGCAGTGTTTTGCAGAATCTACCACAGGATCGGAATCGCGACCCACTGAGAAGATCCGGCGAGAAACTCAGTGGGCTGTGTCTATGGGTTAATTCGCTCGTCGAAATAGCTGCCTGAATACTTAGTGAAACATGCTTGATTTCATATTTCATTCATGTTTTGATGGTCCAGGGTAAAGGTGAAATGACGACTCATTGGCTGGAGGGGCGCCGGCCGGGGTCCCGCACGCCGCTCTCCCTAGCTCCAACACACCCGCAGACACGCTCCTCGCCAAGATACAAACACGACAAGATATTTCATTACTAGCAAACCACATAATATTATAATCTTGTTAATGAGATTGACTGAATAAGCTGAAGTATCAATAATTAACGTATAACTTAAGATCTTTATTATTATTTAAGTATATAAAACTGAATTGCTGTTCGTTAGTCTCGCTAAAACTCGAGAACGACTAGACCGATTTGGCTAATTTTGGTCTTGAATTATTTGTGGAAGTCCAGAGAAGGTTTAAAAGATAAATATGAAAATCCTCGGAATTAAATAAAAATAACCATTTTGTTTTACCTTCGATGTGTCCCCCGTCGGACGGATTCCTTTTGTTTGTTTTAAGTTTATTTTATACAAAAGTTTAGGTCTTTTATTTATCGATTGAGGCACTACAAAGTCTGCCGGGTCAGCTAGTTTGATATAGAAATCGTTTAGGCATCCCCCTATTTTTGTTTGTTTGTCCGTTTGTTTATTTTAAAACCGCTTTACCGATTTCGATGAGTTCATAATTGAATTGAAATCTTAAAAATTATGATGCTACGATATTGACAGATTTAACGTAATGTTTTCATATTTTTTTTAAAACGAAGCGCAATCATCTTTTTACTTAATTTATTGTCACTATTTTAACAGGTTTTTTATTTTAAATTTCAGTGCAATTGCAAGAAATGCTATAATAAAATAAAATGAAATAAATAATGAAATAAAAAATGTTGCAAATGAATCGGGATTCTATACGATTAAATATAGTTAATACACATAAATTAGTTATTGATAAGCAACTCAACAAAAATGTTTACGGGCGTCGGCCACTAGATGGCTTCGCTTCGATTAATTTCTTATTGCTCCTGTAGATGTCAGTAACATATTACCCATCCTATATTTTATTGTTAATGAAGGATTTTGTAAATTTTCAGAAACCACAAATTGATAAAACTTAATCAATTTGTCTATAACAAATAAAGACTTGTATGATTTATATTTTTTTTATTTTCTGTGTTTAGTTGTACAATAATTAAATATCTTAACTTTAACAACATATAAGTTTAGGGGCATCTACTCCAAGATGTTTCTAGTTTCCATAAAAAAAAAATATTTGTCTTAAAGTATCGTAGTTTCAGAGCCCAGCGATTATAGACATTAAACATAAATTAAATAAGGGTAATTAAAAAAAAACTCTTCTTTCTACCCGCGAATAAGTTAACATTTATTTATTCGAATTTTCAGAAATTATGTATGTATATACCAATGAAGTTTCTGTTTTTATATCCTTGTTGTGGCTACGACCGGTGATGCTAAGTCTCGCTGTCGATGCAATTATTATAATATAAATTCTATACTAAGCATCAGGTGCAAATGTCGTTGTTATTAAAATGAAATTTGCTCATGCTTGGGATTTTGCAGTAAGCAGCGGCTTGGCTCTGCTCCTGGCATTGCTGAAGTCCATGGGCGACGGTAACCACTTACCATCAGGTGGGCCGTACGCTCGTCTGCCTACAAAGGTAATAAAAAAAAAGAACGGGAGAGTGGTGGGGGAGCGTGGTAGGTAGACTAATTTACGGTCAGTCTACTTAGAGACATTGAACAGAATGTTTCGAACAAAATTGAAATGTTTACGGATTTAGTTTTATTTGGATATATTATTTTTAAATTAAAAGGGGACTAAAAGGTGACTACATGACGATCACGACCACTCTGTCAAGAGTGACACGATTGAGAAGTAGAAGAAGAAAAGGTTTGAAAGGGAATAGAAATAACGTTTTAATAGAAAAGTAAGCTATAATAAAATTTATAATAGTATTTATTAGTTAATTTGTTTATCTTGTCGATGTTATTTAAAATTTTGAAAACCCCAATGGTTTTACTAAAGATGTATTTGAAAAAAAAAAAACTCTTTTAAANACTCTGTCAAGAGTGACACGATTGAGAAGTAGAAGAAGAAAAGGTTTGAAAGGGAATAGAAATAACGTTTTAATAGAAAAGTAAGCTATAATAAAATTTATAATAGTATTTATTAGTTAATTTGTTTATCTTGTCGATGTTATTTAAAATTTTGAAAACCCCAATGGTTTTACTAAAGATGTATTTGAAAAAAAAAAAAACTCTTTTAAATAGTCTTCGAGGAAAGATAAGATGCCGATTCTTTGTTATGAGTAGCTATTAAATTTGGAATTTATTGAAATATTGCAATACGAAAACTAAAATGGACATATTATATGAAATTATCAGTAAATACGTGACTTATTGCTTTGTAGACATTGTTATTTAAGAAGACTCGTTTGTATTATTGATGGTGAATAAAGCGAATTCACATGGAATTGTATGGTTTAATTTGAGCAGCCCATTAAGGACATGTGATACGTTACATCCTTTTTTTTTAATTTCCGTAGTCCGAGGCTTGATGCTATTATTAATTGATTATTGCATGCTGGTACCGAATGCAGGGGAGCTGGAGAGGAAAAAAAACGGACGCTGAATGATGTTCCGTATATCGGTTGCCTTTTTTTTATTGCTTAATAGGGTGACGAGCTCATAGCCCACCTGGTATTAAGTGGTTACTGGAACCCATAGACATCTACAACGTAAATGCGCCACCCACCTTTAGATGTAAGTTCTAAAGTCTCAAATATAGTTACAACGGCTGCCCCGCCCTTCAAACCGAAACGTATTACTGCTTCACGGCAGAAATAGGCAGGGTGGTGGTACCTACCCGCGCGGACACACTAGAGGTCCTACCACCAGTAATTACGAAAATTAATAATGCCTCATATTAAAGTTATAATTGTATCTAGAGCCACTCGCAATAAAGGAAAAAGAAATAAGCAATGTATTGTGGTCGACCTTCGACAAGAAATATCAAATCAACAATTTAATTATTCGATTTCGTTCGTCTAAATTTTTTTTCCCTTTTATTTATATACATATATGTACGTAAAGTCGATTTTGTATAAACAAGAATTTAATAGCGACTTTATCATGATCGTATATGGTCTTCTTCTTAGTCGAATACTTCATTGCTGAAGGTCGTGTCCTTGAAAGCCCTTCGTGGCTCTTTGTACCCTCAGCTTCCATTTGCTTCGGTTTTCGGTTTCTCTCAGTGCGTTCGTAACAGAAAGTCCAGTAAGCCCAGTTATCTTATTATCAGTTACTAGAGGTCCCGCAGTAGTCGAAATTCGACTATAATTAATTGGAATTGTAAGTTTGTACACTATTATGGATGTATTTTATACTTCTATAATCACTAATTTCGCCAAGGCTACATTATAAAAAAATATTAATAAAGACAAAAAATATTTAATCTATTCTCAATTTGACAACAGACGTCAAGAACAAAAGTTTGACAATAAATAGTATGCATGCGTGTGTGCGTCAAATACATGGTATGTAGTTTGTGTAATGTNAATTGTAAGTTTGTACACTATTATGGATGTATTTTATACTTCTATAATCACTAATTTCGCCAAGGCTACATTATAAAAAAATATTAATAAAGACAAAAAATATTTAATCTATTCTCAATTTGACAACAGACGTCAAGAACAAAAGTTTGACAATAAATAGTATGCATGCGTGTGTGCGTCAAATACATGGTATGTAGTTTGTGTAATGTTTTATTTATTGATTTAATGTATCTTTTATGCATTATTTTAAAAACATATTAGCATTGTGCACTTTTTCTCTATATTCTCTATAAGTGTGGAAAATGTCATACTCCTCCGTCCGCGCAATTTTCGTAAAAAGGGATATACAGTTTTTGCTTCACGTATTAATATATAGATTATTATCATTATTATTATCAGTTATCGTATATGGTATTATTGCTTCAAAATTAATTGCCTTCTGTTGCGCAAAAAAGCCAGAGTTATATTTAGTTATAGTATCAAACTGACAATGATTTCTGGCTTCGTAACAAAGAAGTTTCTGATACTTGATGCCTCAAAAATTAAACAAAACCACGAATCTACTTAAAATACATAGTATTTAAAACTAAATCATATTCTGTCGCTCTACAATGAGGAATGCCGATATATCATTTTATTAACACGCGTTTCCTAATACAAGAGCGTCCACTTCAAGGTGAATTGCGTTTGGACAGATGTTGTGCAACCAGCTCGTATATAAAGAAGACATTGTCCAATTACCCTAATCTGGTAACAGTTGGACGATAGCCTTGATAATAAGTGATGTCCACTGACAACGTTAAACAAACGACCAAATCGAGTGTCAACTCAAGCGTTTTCAATTAAGAAATGTATAATATTTTATTTTTGAAAACGAAAAAGACACGCTTATATAGAAAACTGAAATAACATTAAATTTTATCTTTTTTTATCCTATTGAGGCTAGTCAGGGTATTAGATTTAAGTCATAAGATTATTGTATTGCATTCGATGCTTTATACGTATGCAAATTTTCAAGTTCTGGTTCAAGTTTACTGGGCGTAGGACCTCTTGTGAGTCCGCGCAGGTACCACCACCCTGCCTATTTCAGCCGTGAAGCGGTAATGCGTTTCGGTTTGAAGACTGGGGCAGCCGTTGTAACTATACTTGAGACGTGGGTGGCGGTATTAACGTTATAGATGTCAATGGGCTCCAGTAACCACTTAACGTCACGTGGGCTGTGAAGTCGTCCACCCATCTACGCAATAAAATAATAATAATAATAAATCATAAAATTTCCATACAGATTAACGAATGCTATTTGTCCATTGTATTCCAGATACATTTGTCAATTGAGCTGACTTGAATATTACATGTTTTCTTCTTCTCGACCTTATCCCATTTGGATTGGTGCAGCATCCATTTTTCCATTCAGGCTTATCATACGTCATCTCTGTACTCGAACCGTTCTCACGCCTATCCTCTTCCACACAGCCAGTCTTTTTGGAGTTTACTCCTTTAGAATCGATTTACATATATAGGCCCGGGGTATGAAAATTATGGGGACCAAAATCGTACTAGCATGTCACACGAAATGCGTTATGCGCCTGATTGGCTCCTGATTGCGTGATGCGTGCGCGCGCCAATCAGGAGCCAACGCGCGGCCGCGTTATCGCAGGTGACGCCGGGCTGCTGCGCCGGCAGTCCGCCACAAAGCCTCGTACTGATCGCGCGTTTCTCTCATTATTGTATTTTCATATATTTGTTAGTCGTTTGTTTTGTGTCTCGTTAATTTGTTAATAATCTGT